TAACTAATTAATATAAAAGTATTACTTATTTATAAATAAGATTATTAATTAAACCTAGCTATAATAGGGTTAAATAGAGATATTAAAGACTTTTTTATTAAGAATAAAATAGATATTAATGCAGGGTTAGCACTTTTAATAAGGATAGCTAAGTATCTTAGCAGGAAGCTCGGTCTTCCTAAAGGCACCTTAGCCAAGAAGATCTATACCTAATAACTACTTATAGTAATAGCAGATATCTTTAGCGCTAGTATATATATCTTTATCTCTAGGAGCCTCTTTATATACTATAATAAGATTTATCTAATTAATAGCATTAAAAAAGAGGATAAGTTCTATACTATAGTGCTTGCTATTACAGATAAGCTCCCCAACCTCTTAGAGATTTATAAGGCATTATATAAGCATATTATCTAGCCTGTCCTAAAGCCCCTTCTTCCTGGTAATAATATATAAGATCTTTCTAGGGACTTAAGAGTCCCTAGGGTTTAAATAGCTACAGACAGTAATCTATATAGCCTGCAAAAAACGTCTATTCTAAAACTGCTTAGTGTTTATATACCTCTATAAGGTTTTATAGAGGAATTAGGCAGTATTATAAGAGGAGATACTAATATTAAGATAATATTAGTTTGCCGATAGTCTACTCTCTATAGATATTATTATAAAGACAGCAAAAATAGTAATATTAATAATAATAATAATAATAAAAGTAGGGAAGAAGAGGATAAGAATTCTAATTAATAGGAACTAAGAAGTTAAGAGGGGATTCTAATATTTAACAGGAGTAAGACTTAATTATATATATAATAAGGACTAGGGTCTATATTACCTATAAGTTTAGATAAATTATATAATATATAATAGTAGGGCTTGGATTATATATGTAATAGTGGGGACTTAATCTCACCTGTAGTAATAGACAAACCTAACCCTAATACCTTAGTATAATTATTTCTTTATATAGCTTTTAGCTATCTCTTTTATATAGCTTCTAGCTATCTCTTTTATCTCTTTTAAGCCTGATTTTCTACTCCTTCTTTAAAGAGTAGATTTCCTTTTCTTATCTTACCTCTCTTATCTTGCCTAGAAAGCTTATCTTTTAAGGTATAAGATCTATTTTTCCTATATTTTATAGCTAATTTTCCCCTCTTTATCCTTATAATGGCCTCCTATAGCTGCCCTACCTGTAACGGTAGCTATAAGGATATTCTAGAGCATATCTGCAAAAAACACCCTACCGAAGCCTATATAAATCAGCAGCTACAACCTCTAAATCTAGCTAGGTGCCCACACTGCTTAACAGCTTGCCAAGGAGCCCAGGGCATTAAGGCTCATAGTGCTAAAATCCATAAAATAAAAGGGACTTCAAATATCTCTACTCTTCCTAAGATAAGGACCTATCCAGCCACTAAGGCCTAATATCAGCCTTATCCATCTACAATAGCCTTAGCTAAAGAGCTAGCTGCTAGAAGGAAAAGGCCAGCTAAAACCCCTTCCCCAGAGATAGCAAGACCTTTACAGAGGCAAAGGCAGCAGCCTTCCAGCCCTAGCCCTTACCCTCTCCTAAGCTCTCAGTCTCTTAGCCCACCCCAAAGCAGCCTCTTTCCAGAAGACCAATCTAGGTTATTTTCCCCAGACCTTCCTAAAATCCCTATCTTCCCTATAGCTAAAAGAGGAAGACCTAGGCAAGAGACTGCTTTTCAGGCTAGTATTCCCCCTTCTAGTCTTATAGAAGAGGATTCTATTCAGTCTCCAGCTAGGTCTATATCACATATCTCACAGACCCAAGCCGGAGCTATCCCCCAGACCCCAGCTAGACCTATTCCTCAGGCTATAGCTAGGTCTTCTTTAAGGTTATCTTAAAGGTCCTCCTCAAGGTCATCTCAAAGGTCCTCCTCAAGGTCTTCTTAAAGGTCCTCCTTAAGGTCTTCTTTAAGATCTTCTTCCAAGTCCTCTTACAGATCTATATTGCAAGGATTTAAAGATATCTTATTAGACCTAGAGACTCCCCCTTCCTCTCCCCCAGACCTTTAGCAGCAACACCAAGAGGCTATAGCACCAATCTTAGCTAAGGGATCTATATAGAAGCTTCTAGCCTATACAAAAATCCCCATAGTAGAGAAAAAGCTACAAGCTAGACAAGCAGCTATTTTCAAGATAGCTGCTTAAAAAGCCGCTAAGGCCTTTATAAAGAGACCTACTAAGAAAAACCTCTTATACTTTCTTATCCTCCCTAGAATCTTAGGTCTTGGAATCCAGAAAGGAGATTTATCTACCTATCTCCGAGCCTATCCTTCTAATATCCCTTCCCTAGAGACCCTAGAAAGCCTCCTACAAAGCCCAGCTCAAAGTACTTCCTTTTCCCCTTCTCAAGGAAGAAAAACAGCCCCTAGCCCAGCTAAGAGGGCAGCTAAGATGCTAGAGAGAGGCTTCCTAAGACGGGCTTCTCGAGCTCTTATAGACCCTACCCTTATAGCTGCTGATTTAGCTGAAAACAGGGCTATTTTACTCGAAAAACACCCAATAGGCTTAAAGGACCCCTTTTCAAGAAAGACTCGCCCAAGACCTGGCCAACCCATTACAGAGGAAGCTATCCTTGCCTCTATAGCTACTATAGGAAAAGAAAAAGCCCCCGGCCTTAGTGGCTGGACTAGGCCACTTCTAAACCTAGTATCTAAGGCAGATTCCCCAGTTATAGCCTTCCTAAGGCTACTAGCTGATATGATAAGGCAAGGAACAGCCCCAGGGGCAGACCTACTATGTGCAAGCCGCCTTATCGGCCTAGAGAAGCCAGATGGAGGTATTAGACCTATTGCTATGGGAGATCTTATCTATAAGGTAGCTATAAAAGCTATCTTAAAGACCTCCTTTAGCTCCTCTATGCTATTGCCCTTCCAGCTAGGCGTTAGCAGCCCAGGAGGAGTAGAACCAGCTATCTTCCTTCTAGAGGAAGCTATAGCTGGCCTAAATAAGGCTAATTTCCAATATATCACCTTAGTTAACCTCTACAACGCCTTTAATAGCGGGGCTAGACCCTCTATAGCATCCTTAGTAGCCTCCTTTGCCCCTACCTTCTATAGGGCTGCAACCTGGGCTTACAATAACCCCTCACTACTAGTCCTTCCAGATAGTTCAACTATAGCCTCTTCTAAAGGGGTTAGGCAAGGAGACCCAATAGGACCACTTCTCTTTTCCCTCTCTTTTAGACCTACTTTAGAGGAATTAGCTAGAAAGCTTTTAGGGGCAACCCTAGTTACTTATTTAGATAACCTTTATATCTTATCTAAAGACTAAGGATCTCTAGATATAGCTAGAGAGGTACTAGAGAAATTACCTTATAAGCTTAACCTAGCTAAAAGTAAGGAAATAGCTATTAAGGACCTTAAAGACTATGGTCTTAAGACCTTGGGTACTTATATAGGTCCCCTAGAAGGCAGAAAGGCATTTCTAGAAGAAAAGCTAGAAACCTTATAGCAGGCTATAGCTGCTCTTTAAGACCTGCCTAAATAACACTCCCTCCTTCTCCTATAAGGCAGTATCTACCTCCTTTTACAGCACCTCCTTTAGCAACTTAACCTAGAAGGTCTATCTGACCTATGGGAAAGAGCTGATATCCTTATTAAGGAAGCTATTATAACCTTAGTAGCTAGGAGCCTAGCCAAGCGCCCTAAAGAGCCTAATCCCTATCTCTTATCCCTTCCTGTAAGGGAAGGAGGTCTTAGGCTTTCTTTATATAAGGAATTAGCCTAAGGCCTATATTAGGCAGCTAAGGAAATAGTTAAGAAGATCCTTAAGGGTATTACTAGCTTTTTTACTTCTTACCCCTCTCTATCTACCTTAAAAGCCTAAAACCCTAGTTAAGACTAAGGGAAATTAGCTAAAAAGGTTTTTAAAGAGTTAAACAAGGCTAAGCTAGAAACCTTTCTCTAAGACCTCCCTATATCCTATAAGCAAGCCAGGCTAGAGAATGCTAGCTATCTAGGCCGCAAGTAGCTTAGAGTCTTACCTATACAGAAACCCCACTCTTTTACAGACTCTAAGACTACTAAAGCCCTTAGAAGCAGACTTTTCTATCCTATTAAGCCTCTAGACCTGCCTTATAGTGCCTATAGTGCTATAGCTAGCCTAGGTTATAAGGATACTTATAAGGGAGCTAGCAGAAGGTAGATTGCAAGGCATAATGCTGTTAATAGGGCCTTTATAAAAGCCCTAAGCAGCTGGCCTGACCTTGAGGTTGAGATCAAACCCCTAGTCTAGCAAGACTCCTCCTTCCAGGCTGACTTTGCAGTCACTATTAGAAATAGCCGCTACTTCTATAATATCCAAATCGTAGCTATCTCTAAGGACTCTGCAAAGGAGGACCCCTATAGCACCTTAAAGGAAGCTGCTAGTAAGAAAAGGCAGAAATATTAGTCTCTTAGAGCCTTCTTCTACCCTCTTATCTTCTCAGCAGGCGGCCTTATGGATCAGGAGACCTTACAGACCTATAAGAAGCTCCAAGAGCTCTTAGGTCCCTTTGCAGCCTTACAGCTAGACTCAACTATCGGCCTTACCTTAACTAAGACTAGGGCTATCTTAGCTGCCTCTATAGCTCGAGATCTACCTAGGAGAACGCACTCCTAGATGCCGACCTATCTTTCTTCCTAACCTATCTTCCTTTTTAATCTATCTCTTTTCCCTATTTTTCCTTTACCTCTATCTCTTTTTAATCTTTATATCTTTCCTATCTTTATATCTTTCCTATCTCTATCCCTTTCCTATTTCTATCTCTTTTCTATCTATATCTCTTTCCTATTTATATCTTACCTATATTCTTATTTATCCTTCTTATATTTATATCTTTTTTATTTCTTTTTATCTTTCTATCTTTTTTTTTTTTTTTTTTTTTTTTCTTATTATCTTTCTAATCTCCCTTTTATCTCCTTTATTTATCTCTTTTTTATAGTCTTTATAAATCCTTATATAAATAGCACTTAAGCAAGATAGCTTTCCATAGCCTAATATAACCCTATCCCAACCCTAACCCACGTGCCATCCTCCTTAATACCCAGTACGGCCGTAAAGTGGAGCAGCGGGTTGTGATACTGCTTCCTCCCAAGCTTCTGCTTGATTGACTTGATGCAGAAGTTAAAGACGGCCTCGTTAAGTGCCTCTTTATCGGGGTCTTCTTCTCCCTCTTCTCCACCCTCAGCGCTCCCTCCGTCGCTATCCGCAGCAGGATCCGCTGAAGTAGTTGTATGTGGTGTTGGAGAATTTCTCGTGGATGAATAACCGTCGGAGTAATCAAGAATTTCCTCCCTAGACCACTCAGTATAGTCATCCTCGCTCCCTTGACCCTCATCTTTGTCTTGGTCTTTATTACTACTTTTGTCTGATATAGATTCGTCGCAAGGTAGATATACATTAGTCAATAACGTATCTTGATCTACACTCCATGCAGGGTCCTCCCAAAGTCGCGCTAACTCTTGATGTTGGCTTCTCCTTAAGCTTTGGCCTAGGATAACCTTGACCGTTCTGGGTAGGAACTGGAGTAGTTGAAGCCAGAAACACAAGTAGCGCTTCAACTCCTTCCGATATATATGCTTAGAGCTGGATTTAGAGATAAGTTTGAAGGGCGCTTTATACAGACGGTCTGCAAATCTACCCCGGAGCCATCTACGCACGCAGATATCAGTGCTTCGTATAGTATCGCCATATCGATCAAATAGACGATCAGTCGCATCCATAATCAATGCTAACCGCTGCTTAACTGTGACTGAGCTTAAAAGCGACTCCTCTACGTGCACTTCGAGGCGAAGCGGCCGACCAGTCAATACAGGTAAATCTGACATGGCTACGAGGATATCGCGACGGGCGTCTTTGAGCAGGTGTTCCCACCCAGTACGGCGCATCCAATTAGTCATTAAGTTCGCCTCTGTAGTGTCTTACACCAAATCTTTCCTGCTTAGTCGTGACTCTAATCTTTCCTGTTCTTCAGAAAGGAGCTGCTAAGCAAAGTCTCTGATAGCATCTGGCGTCTCCTGTAGCAGAATATTGGCGTTTAACTGCCTTTCAGATATCTAAGCACCTTCGATTTCGACGGTCCAAGACTTATAGCCGCCTTAAGCCGTCTAACTCTGGAGGGTCAGCCCTGTCTTAATATGGTCTCGTAACCAATATCGCCCTAATTTTCTAGCAAGCTCTATTTCCGCTAGGTGCGTTTTTCTAAGGTATGATTAAAGAACAACATCGCTGGTCGATCGCAGACCGCAATGCCTGCAAGAGCTTGCACCTATCAGACTTTTCAGGTAAGGATAAGGTGCACTACTATCAGGTCGCAAGCAAAGACTCTTCAGGTCCAGGAGATTCAAGGAACGAATTAACTTATTCAGTCCCCTGCAGGCTGCTTTATCGACGTTATGGATTTCCCCGAGATGTCGAGATACGCAATCCTTATCTGCCGTTATGGCATAGCTATATTACTTATAGATAATAGCAGGCTCAGGCGAGTTAAGGTGTAGGCCAATGCAATGAAGCTCGACAAGTTTTTCTGACAAGACTTGGCTATAAAGCCTTTCGTAATTAGAATACTCGTTATCTGGCATTGTTCTTGATCAGTTGATATAGAATTACCTACTAGCTGGAAAGGAGAATGCAGATGAGCCAGAGGTCAATTCGCTTCTACAGGGATGGCACGGGACATTGGGACGGAAAACGCGACGCGTTTTGAGTTGCAGCTAAACGTCAATAGATAAAAACGCGCCCCGTTTTGAGCCCCCAATTGGGGGTAGAAATCTAAAGGCTCTGATTGGTCTAAAAGACGAAACGCGGCGCGTTTTCAGCAAGAATACTTGAGTAGGCCAAGTCGTAGCTGACTTATTGTTAGGCTAGTACAGTGACCGCGAAAATCTAAAAGCGTTAGCGTGTGACCGCTAAATTCTGGTAGGATGAAGTGAAGTGCGCTAAGAGCCAGATAGGCTAGTCTACTGACCGCGAAATTCGAAACCCCAATTTTAGCTGACCCGACTGCTTTGACTAGCGCCTCCAACACGAGGTATAGAATCAGCCCATCCCTCAGCTCGTTCCTACATCATTAATCTCAATCTTGTAAATCACACACTGCTCATCGCTTTGCTGACTTCCACCATATCTCGGCGACTTTTCATCCATACCGTCCTTGCCACCACATGAATCCAGCACATCGTACATCGCCTTTTTGCAGAGCTTCGGTTCCGTGCCTCTGATCCTACCAGGGCACCCGTCGCCCTTGACGTCCTTGACCCAGTTGGCGCTGAAGACAATATCCACGATCATCGATCCGGGCTTAGAACTACCATATGTACCCACGACTTCCTCCCTGCGCGTGTCGTCTGGGCTGACGTAATCTAAGTTCAAAGAGTCACACCATTTGTTGATAGCAGGTTCGATGTTGCCACGCCTCATAACTGGGCCATTGTTGTCGGTCCGAGCGCACTCAAGTGTCCAGGACTCGTCATTGTCGTCCCTGGGCACCACGACAGCATCAGGTGTTCCGAACAGGGCCTCGAAGTACTTGAAAGTAGCGTAGAGGGCAAGGGAATCCGCTGCGAAGAAATGTCAGCATGGTAATACCTCAGACCACAAATTCACGTACCATTGAACTCTGATCGAGCTCGCACAGAGGGCAGCTTATGCATTCCCATTCGCTGAACAATTTCGGGTCCGTATACAGGGACGGGTCTCGGGGCTTCTGGACGTAGCTTTTGGTCTATCACGACAACTGTTTCTGATGAGTGACATGCATGATAGTAGAGGATGATTGGAGTCACTTACCGGATTTTGACTCAGCCATGGCAGCCAAGTGGGTGATTTCGTGGAGCAACATTCTAGTCTTGCCGAGCAACTGATGGGGGTCTTTCTGATAAGACTTGTGGCTTCGCAGTTCCTTGAGCAAGTCCAGAAGAAGTTCTTGGCCTGGTCGGAAGAACGGGTCGCACATCACAATAAGTTGCTCATCAATCTTGTCACTGTATGACCAGGCATATCCGCCAATCTCACCATTCTCAAGTTCAGTTTTGCAAGTAACCTGGACGGCCCTGTTTTTCTGGTAGACGTCCTGACAGGCGATGTGGATCTTGCCGTAGACCTTGTCCTCGTAAAGGTTCAGGATATTGTCGTAGATTTCTGTAGAACAAAGATTAGCCAATCGTCGGAGGACACACTGGGAACGTGGTAACTCACTGTGAATAAAGTCGGCGGCGCCTGGTCTTGTGTGCACATCGTCGCCAAAGATGCGACTCTCCAATGTTCCCGGTTTCTTGCTAAAGTCAACAGAATGAGCGACCTTGACGAAGTCGATAACGTCGAACCAGCTGCGGACAATGGCAGTCTTTTCCTTCGGTGTGCAGCCGCTGAATTCGTTGAAGGGGGTATCCTGATGCTCGTCAACGCCAACATTGCCACTGCTGCCACTACCACTGCCGCCTTTGATGGGCCCGGTGTTGCCCTGGCCAGGGCCCAAGACGGGGAGAGCATCGACGTCCTCAGACCTGCGATTTTGTTAGTAATCTTGAAAGAACAGTCAGAGTGGACATGGCTTACTCTTGGAAATCAATGCTCCAGACCATGGTGCCTCCAAAGCAGAAGCCATCGGCCCAGGCCTTCTTGTCGGCAAAGGTCTCTTCATCTGTGGCGGCTGTTAGTAACGAGGAGAGACAAGAGCTATGAAGCGCGATTGCTTACCATCATATCCAATCCACTGATCATCCCAAGCAATTTGCTTCATCATAGAGTCCTTCAAGTATGTTGACTCGACACCCCTGTTCTTAATCATCTTCTTGATCTCACCCAAAGACATGACACCATCAGAGTCAGTGCACTCTCCCTTCCTGCTGGGGCCGGCAAAGGAACATCCGAGTTCCTTGCAGTCTGGGTCAGACACAGTGTAACCGCGACCGTACATGGCAAGACCGAAGTTGATCTTCTTGGGGTCGAGACCGGCGAACCAGAGAGGGATAGTGTTGTTGTGAATTTCACGGATATCGGATTGTCCGCGAATGATCTTACCGAGGGTCAGAACATCCGAATCCCAAGATCCGTGGAGATCTAAGACACATGTTAGTCTGAAGGGAGAATAGTGGAACAAGACTGGTGCTTACCGTAAGCCATAAAGCCAAAGAAGTCAACATAAGGCTCCATCGCTTTAGCATCGAACCAGCGGAGATACCAGTAGTCAGGTGCTAAAGTCAAGCTAATACCGTACTTGGAACCGTAGGCAGCGCGCATCTCCTTGAGCAACATGGAGAGGTTGCGAGTATCAGCAAGCTTGCGACCACCACGCTTAGGCTCACCAGGGTACTCCCAATCGAGATCAACACCAGTGAAACCATACTCATCCATGTAATCCCGAACGGACGCGATAAAGGCAGCTCGGTTAGCCTTGGTAGACACCATGTCGCTCCAGGTAGTGTGAGTAGGAGCCTTCTCGTTGCTCATATCGTAACCACCAATGGCAATCCAAGTCTTAAGCTTGCCACCCTTGGACAAGTCGGTGAACTCGCGCATCTGCTTGACATCGTCGTTGTGAGCAGGAGTCAGCTTGAAAGAGACGGGGTCGATGAAGGCGAAAGAGTAGAAGAGATGGGTGTAGCCTTTGGTGTTGAGCTGCTTGGGTGTCTTAGTGTCACATTTGCGGGCGCGGACGTTCCAAGATTGATAGTATCCGATTGTTCGTCCGTTTGTGCTGCCACTTCCCTTTGCGCATGAGGGGGATGAGACGATGTTGCAGCCTCCGTAACCGGCTTGGCAGGGGAGGGTCTTGTGTAGGGGATCTGCGTTGTCGCAAAAGGCTGAGGTGGTCTAAGAGTAGAGTTAGTTAGCTGTGCATAGTGGACAGGTTAGTGATGGAGACTTACACCGCACCAGCCGGTGGCAGAACAGCAGAGGTTCATACCGCAAGGCATTTCACCCTCTTCACTGTACTCTCCACACATAGCTTTAGCATCGCAGTTAGATGTGCAGCCCTCGCCACAGTAGTCAGGACCATAACCGCAGATGCCCTTGGGACCACAGCAGCTACCAACAGTCAGTCATGAGTATCGTGGGCTGATGGAACATTAACGTACCTGTCGTCGGGGCATTTACGGTCCTTGCAGTAGAGAGGACCGTCACCACGCTTCTCGAGAGAACGACGTGACAAGCCAGACTTGTTGGGAGTAACGCCAGCAGAGGACTCAGTAGCATTCTGAGCATCCTTGTAGTACTGATCAAGGCTAACACCGGAGTCGATGGAGAGCTCAAGGTCTTCAGTGGGGTTTGGAGGGGCCTCGGCAGGGTTCTGGTGACCAGGGCTCATGACAATCTTCTTGGTCCATTCAGGAGCCTTGGCTATTCGGTTGAGTCAGTATGATCTTGACATATTTGCAAGGGAAAGTCTTACTGATGACAGAACGGCGGCTGATGCGGCCATGAGGGTGATGGTGCGTATCAGCATTGCTCAAGGTGACAAAACACAAGAAACAAAGAGCAACCGCCCAAAAGGCGATGCTCGAAAGTCGCGACACCATAGTTAATACCTAGGTTGAGGTAAACAAGTAACTATCGCTGTGTCTGTCTGAGCAATTGGTCGTACAGGCGAACGCAATGAACTATATACATTCGAGGCTTCGCCCCCAAGAAAGTATCCAGTTCTGTATCCGCATCCTTACATCCTGGAAATTGCAATACCCATGTTAACGATGGCGAAGTCCACATCCTACGTTACAACGCATTTTCAGGATGTGTATGAGGGAAAAATTAAATTCAAATTAGACATGTTCGTATTGCCTATGCCTCGGCAGTGGGTTCTCATCATGATCCCATCTTGAGGTCTAGACTACGGATATTTCCAGGGCCCATAGAGGGATCGACTCCACAGCCCGACCTGCCAGCCCTGTCTCGGCCGAACCTGTGAAGAAAAAGTCCCGGGGGTCAACCGGATCCAGCCAAGCGTAGGATCGGAGTGCAGTAGACTCGGCAGGGCAGGATCCTAACCAATAGGAATGGGGGAGTCTGTAGCATCCGAGTGGAAAAACATGTGCCTGGAAATTGAGCAATGCCGGTCGTCTGGGCTGTGTATTCTTTTTACCCGACGCAAAGGATGAGGGTCCCATCGACGGGCCGGAACGTTTCTGCAAGGAACGGTTCTTGACATCCTACAAATGGTTTAGGGTAGGAGGACAGGATGAAAACTCTGAGCGACCAGTTCATCCAGATGGGTGTGTCAGTCACGAGAGATGCTCCAGCAGCCGGCGAATACCCTGAAGGCTTCTGATTAAATACGCGAGGTAGTTTTAGTGGACTTTCAGTACATTAATGTGATACAAAGAATGTTATTTTCTTTTGAAGTACGCTTTTGCGAGTATCTACCGATGCATGAACAAAAAAACCTACAAGGAACTCCTACTGCGTTTAGAGTATTTGCAGCTGAAGATTTAATCAATGAAGACACAGCTTTAAAGAGCATCACTCTGATACCTGAATAAGAGTTTCTCCAGTCTTGACAGGTTGATACATCATCCGGCTTCTTCGGAATACTGTTGGTTTCACGAGATCGGATGAAAACAATTGACCTTAACCTAAACCCTATCAGCCCCCAAACGGCGGCCGACTGTATGGGTCCTCCAGTGAAGGTTACTAGCTCATGTAACGGTATGCCAGTGGGCTGTTCGGCCCGTCGGGCTGTGCTGCGCTAATTAACTTCGAGTCGAGACCATTCGGACTTGAATTCAGGCGGTGCTCTATGAAATTCTCAGAGGAAAGACGGTTCATAGGGCAGATTACGTTTCATCCGTTGAGGAAAACATTTTCCTTGGCGGTCCCTGCGTGACAAGGACAAGGACATGGGTCAGGGATCGCGGCTCAATTGGGACGATCCTTCCGATCGTGTTCGCTGAGAAAAGTGGCGCCAATGGAATTGCCCGATCGTGAACTGCAGTCACTAAACGAGTCCTCGTATATGAGTACTCTTATATGAGTTACCAATATCGTCGTAGACGCTGAGAGAATTACCATCACTGCCAACCACTCCGACACTCTCCCACACAATGAAGGTCGCTGCTCTTTTCTGGCTTTTGCCAGCTTTTGTTGTTGCCCAGTCCCCTACTCAGACTTTGTCCCCATGGCAGACCGGTATGGTTACTGAAGATGGCACCTGTGGAGGAGAGACTGGTTTCGTCTGCAGCCCTCTCTGGGGTGCTTGCTGTTCCAAGGACGGCCAATGCGGCCGATCCAGCAAGTTCTGCGGAGACGGATGGTACGTTCTCTATCTAGTCATTATTGTCTTAGACACAACTAACACAACGTAGTCAGAGCAAGGCTGGAAACTGCAATGCCGCTGCACCCCCTCCTGAAGTTCCCCTAGGCCCTGGAAGCGTCTCTCCCGATGGTTCTTGTGGCAGTACAAACAAATTCGTTTGTGGTGGTAGCGCCTTTGGTGACTGTTGTTCTACCCAGGGCTGGTGTGGTAACTCTACAGCCCACTGCGGTAACAACTGTACTCCCGACTTTGGCACTTGTGGCCCTCCCAGCAAAATCACCTTTGATGGCCAGTGTGGTGCCAATGGCAAGATCTGTCTTGACTCTGGCTATGGTGACTGCTGTTCTATCGGCGGCTGGTGTGGAGACAAGGCTGAGCATTGCGGTGCTGGTTGCCAGAAAGGCTTCGGCAACTGTACCTTGACCAATGCTGGAGATATTTCCACCGATGGCTTCTGTGGAAAGAATGGCAAGACTTGCAAGGGAAGCACATTCGGAGATTGCTGCTCCAAGGAAGGCTACTGCGGCAAGGATAGTCACTGTGATGCTGGATGCCAGACCAAGTTTGGTTCCTGCAACGCCGAGACTGACATCTCTACCGATGGTTTCTGTGGCAAGAACGGAAAGACTTGCAAAGGAAGCACCTACGGCGATTGTTGCTCCAAGGAGGGTTACTGTGGAAAGGAAGGCCACTGTGGTGCAGGATGTCAAACTGCTTTTGGTACCTGCAAAGCTGACTCCGGCGCTGTCTCAACCGACGGTCGCTGCGGAAGCTTCAACGGCAAGACTTGCAAGGGCAGCACTTACGGTGACTGCTGTTCCGTTGGTGGCTGGTGTGGTGATAAGAAGGATCACTGTGATGCAGGCTGCCAATCCAAGTTCGGTACTTGCAACCCCGAGGCTAGCAACATTTCTACCGATGGCTTCTGCGGTAAGAATGGTAAGACCTGCAAGGGAAGCACCTACGGTGACTGCTGTTCTGCTGAGGGTTACTGCGGTAAAGAAGGTCATTGCAAGGCTGGCTGTCAGTCTAAGTTTGGTACTTGCGATGAAGCTTCCGGCAACGTCTCGACCGATGGAAGCTGTGGCAAGAATGGCAAGACCTGTAAGGGCAGTGTCTTTGGAGACTGTTGCTCTGAGTACGGCTACTGTGGCAAGGGCGACACCTTCTGCCGCAATGGTTGCCAGAAGGCCTTCGGTCTCTGCACCGGTATCTCATCCGACTCTGAGTGTGGTACCAGGAACGGCAAGACTTGTGCTGGATCTGGACTCGGAAACTGTTGCTCATCCAATGGATACTGTGGAAGCACCGCCTCTCACTGTGGACAGGGCTGGTAAGTTCACATTTTCTATCATATCGATATCTTTACTGACATTACTACTCTCTAGCCAAAAGGGTGCTTCCAGCGCCTGTCTCACCAAGGACATTCCCTCATTGGACAGCACTTGCGGTAGCAAGGTTGGTCTGACCTGTGCTGGTGGTCCATTCAATGGACAGTGCTGTGGTTCCACTGGTTTCTGTGGAACAACCAGTACTCACTGTGGTGCTAACTGGTAAGTGGCCGATCTCCACTCTCTCCGTCTTGTTCCGATTGCTAACTTCATTCTCCAGCCAGAAGGGTTTCGGCCGCTGTAATTAGTTGTAGCATAATTTCTTTGTATATAAATCCAGAAAGTGGTCGTGTAGAGTTTAAAGATAGATTGATTCAGTAGCCTAATTATCCTCACACCCTGTATCCTCGGTTGCTCTTAGCGGTTAATTGTCTTAAACTCACCTAACCCAACTCTGTTGATTGAGTTCTTTAACTGTCGATACTCTAAATTCTATACACTCCAATACCAACAGGAATTCCTATTGTGTCTACAATTGTGGCCTAAGGGACTTACTTAAACTCTTGAGGGTCTGAAGCTATCTCATAGTGGATGTTCTCATAACTTGAACTTCTTAGTATTTCCACTTTAAGCGTAATCCCCCGGGGGCTTGTTCTACCTTCTGCTTTAGATTGGTACCAGTCGAATGCCTCTATACAACAGTCAAGGGTCAATTTCAATTACTAGCTTGGACTTTTTGTAATAGGGTAAAGAAAAGTGTTAACCGGCTCGACTACTAAAGTTCCTTTGCGCGGATAATAGTCGTGCGACAACCCATAAATAGCAATATTTCCGTTAAGCTTAATTGCTGCATGGGTTTAACGTTCCGGTGTGAATCTGCCATAGCCTATCGCCATTCAGGAATTGACCACATGTCAATCCTATCTTTGCTTCGCAAACACCCTGGTCCACGGGCTCATCCGACCGCTGCCACTGCTGTGCCTCAATTGGTGGGGACGGAATCACACCCTGCACCTGCCTAGACAAGCCTCTACCGAACTGAAGGATTTGCCAACATATAAGGCCAATTGGCGCCACGCACGAGGCTCTTGTGGCATTTGGCCGACATTTGTCGTAATTTGCGAGACATTGGACATGAGTTTGTTGAAGCACTGCATCCTACTCCTCATTTACTTTGGGCCTCGTCTCATATTTGAGTTAGCATAACACATTATGTAACCCTGCAAAGCGAAAGAGACCAGCGAGGTTTCGTCGATTGTTCCGACTAGATACTGCTGCATCATGCACTTCTTTGCTAGTGACCTGTCTGAGACCAAAAGCCCCTGCTGTTGAGATGAATCACTCTAGATGATCATTCACATAAATAGAATAAACATTCTTCCTAATGGTTGTGGCTCTACCGTCCACGTACTTTGTCTGGGTTTGAAAACGGAAGTCGTATTGTCACCAACAGGATGACGGGACGGCCATCGAAAAACATAATCTACCTATCGTCTATCAACAAAAGTTCTTATCAGTCACAATCTTAGCCAGCTGCCAATTGAAAAGTTGTTGGACAAATCTCGAGATAGCGGTGAAACATGAAAAATGCATGAAATGAGTCATAAACAGCCACAATTTGGTATCAGGCCTGGTTAGGATGAGGGAACTGGATGCATGCCAATACCTGCACAAGCACCGGTAGTCATAGTTTCAAGGTTAGCACAACCCTTTTATCTCAAATGGTGTATTCATAACATCGACCAAGACCTTTGCCCATCCAGGACATTCACAGAGGCATGCTTTTCTGCTTCCAGGCCTAAGAAGATCATCTATCACGATATTTACTCAATACATAGCCATTCCAAGAGTTTCCCATCCAGGAACGGAATTCCTACGCGTTCTCAAGATAAAACTCACCTGAATACCGTAAGTGCTACCGTCTGACAGTTCAAGTGTATCAAAGAACTAGGCGACCGTTTGCTAATTTGTGCTTTTAATCTTTGTCAGGACATGGCGTCGAACCTAGAAACAGTCACAGAGCGACTGGCTGCTGTTAAGCTAGAAAGCAAACCAGTCGTAACCTTCGTTAACGACACGCCTGCGGTAGCACAGCTGGTCGACCTTCTTGATGGACGTTCAACAGTTCAACCTTCAATTTTCATCGACCTTGAAGGAGTGAACCTTTCTCGCCACGGAACCGTCTCGATTATGCAGGTCTATTACATGCCGATCAAATGTACCTATTCGATTGATGTATACACGATGGGTGACAAGTGCTTTTCAACACCCGGGAGCAATGGCCGCACCCTCAAGGACATTTTAGAATGCGATAACATAACCAAAGTGTTCTTTGATGTTCGTAACGACTCAGATGCACTTTATGGTAGTTACCAGATCAAATTGGCTGGAATTCATGATCTGCAGCTCATGGAACTAGCAACGCGGTCCTTTTCAAGGAGATGTGTCAACGGGCTGTCAAAATGCATCGAGCCTGATGCTCCTCTGTCAGTACAGGAACGGTCGGACTGGGTTCGGGTCAAAGAGGCTGGACTTCGGCTTTTTGCGCCTGAGAAAGGTGGGATGTATGAGGTTTTCAACGAACGTCCATTGCCCGATGCTATCAAGCTCTATTGTGCCCAGGACGTTCAGATTTTTCCACGTTCATGGGCTCACTATAATGGTAGAATGGAACAGAGGTGGCGTGAGAAGATAATCGCCGCATCGAAGGCAAGGGTAAAGTCATCTCAATCTGCTACCTACAACGGCAAAGGACGGCACATGGCTCTGGCCCCCAGTGGCTGGTAAGGCTTTCTTACACAGTTACTCCTGCAGTATCGCGTACTTTTTGTATAGCCACTTTATTCGTTCTACTAGGAAGTTCCGTCCTCTAGCTAGCATGACTGTGCGAATGAGACATTTTGTTTATTAAGACGTAGCAAACATACAGCTGGGACAACGTATTTGGCGTCATGCATCTGTTACACCTTGTCTCTTCGTAACATGTGACCAATAATACTTGGCCACGTCAATGCATGTCTCACAGTTAAGATGGCTTGTTGTGTGGTTACGGTTGAATGCGCGAAGGAGGCCTCACTGCACGCGGGAGGCCGGCCATCTTAAACCCCGCAAACACAAGCACAAGCGAGACTCAAGGTGCAAATATGCAGCCGTTTCCCGTTTCACTCATGTTGGAAGGGTCATGCAGCCAACTGTTATCTTCCAATGTGTTATCATAGGAAGTCTGTTCTTTTCTCCAGCAGAAGGGATGAAGGCAATCTAGAAAGTATATCGAACTTACACAAAACATTGCATCTGTATAGATCAGACTTAATTATGCTTCGTAAGCACAAAAAGGTTACTTTATCACGGAACTTCAGATATCTCTTACCGCGTATGTCTTTTTTATCTCTTTTTATTTATTGTCTTCTGCCAAAATAATGTATTTCTGTTCCTCCGGTGAGGCTGGCATGCCACTTCGAGCGTCGGTTAGTCCTTCTGCATTTGAGCCAATAACAACTTGCAGTAGAAGGCCTCATCGTGGACAACACTCATTGTGGATCATTGGCAACGCCAATTAGAGAGCCTCCCAGTCGCTTTATTCTAATCACATCATCGGCAGGCTCTGCCGTTTGAGCTCGGTCTGTCGGCTCTCCTGGAGTCAGGCGGTAGTCTCACAATAACCAAGGAAGCAAAACTTACCCTAAGCCCAGTTTGCCCCTTGAATCTAAAGATCGAGGCCTACAGGGCCTGAAACCTTTTAGTTTGCGATTCTCTCTGTAGACACTGGTAGGGACAACTGGCGATCCGAATTACGAGTGGCATGTATCGACCTTCAATCTGTAGCAGATTCTCGCGGTGAGTGGTGTCAACAGATTTATTCTTGTTGACATTGTCCATTTTTGATCCAAATTTAGGTACCAAAAAGCATATAGCGATAACAAATATGATTACCTTGCATTATTAATCAGAGGGTGGTGACTTCGGCCATATTTCCCAGTCTACGACGTCCTCCCAACGAAGGATATCATCACCATCATAACCGTAATCATAATGATACCCCCAGTCATCTTCATCATCGTCGCGAATACGCGATGAGCGTTGTACATTTCCTCTCTTCTTTCGCCTGCCCTTCACCGCTTTCAACTTCTCAGCAATGTACTTCTCGCGGGCCCTTTTTCCCCACTGCTCCAACTCGTGAGGGTAACATAGGCACCATAACGCAACCTCTCGTGCCGCCGTCGAATCTTCCTATGCCTCATGCGTGTTGGAGTTCTGTCGGATTCGCAGTTTTAGCAGATCCGCACATAGCGACTGGAGACTCCATCGACGGCCAAAACCAGCGTCTGTCCCAAACACCATTTCTGCTGTAAGAATAGCAGTATCGAAGATCTTTCCATGTGATATTCGCAGACTTTTTAAGTCTTGATTGAGAGATTGTCCGACTAGTACCGTGTCTGTGTTGATATGCTTGAAAAGCTCTTGTCGTGTTGCTTCCCAACCGCGAAGAGCTTGTCCTTGAGATACAGCCATTGACAATGTTGCCGGCCGTATGCCATGGATGTTGGTTCGCCATTCAATGATGGGCTCGTGAGGTTTAACAAGGGAATTGGTTAAAACTTGGCCAGAGAAGAAGTCGATAACACAGATGGATATAATCTCACTATCACCGTTTCTGACACCTGCCATTTCGCAATCCAATGCAACAGCCTTTCTTTTGGGTTCGCGAGAGCTAGGGTAAGGAGCCGTACGATTCTCCCAATTCTCCTGTCTCGGCTCGCTTGGTAAGATGTAGCACTCTTTTCTAAGGCGATTGAAAGAATGGCATTTGAGAATGAGACGGTGGTGAATGACTGTCAAGTCGAGCAGAGGGAAATACTTATAGCTCTCGTCTTTGAAGCGAAATTGTAACAGAGGTACAGGCGTTGAGACGTTGGGCCTTAAGCTTTGAGATGTCACAGTCTCCGGTAACTTCCCATGCTTTGCTTCATTATGCTGGGCCAAGGCTTGTTGGGTAGGAAACCATCTGATACAGTGTTGACAACACTGATTTCTTTGATGCTCTGCATCCAAACAATGTTTCGCCAGTTTAGAATGGGTCTCGAAAGAGACGGAGCATATTTTACAGCGCCGCCTACTATTTCGTTCGACTTTTTTCATTGCTGAAATGCTTGAAATGTAGAGGCGAAGGAAGTGAAAGATGAAAAGTCGGTAATGTGATGGGCTATTTCTTTTATGAGCCCTATGATGTTGGGCATCAGTACATGGACGATTACCCCGCTTAGTAGGCCTCCTGAATCAATAATCAGTTGGCAGAAGTACGTACAGATTGGTGTCAAGATAAGACATAAATTAATAGCTCATAACATGAACAAGACGAATAAGGCCGATTAAATGAAGCTTCATTACAAGGTATTCAATTTTGTTCCATGATGTTTCCAAACTAAATGGATATCAGAAAATAATTACACTGGCAAGCCACTAAAGCATCTCGATCGGCATATTATCAAGTTTCCAGCAGCAGCAGTTTATTTTACAGCAGATTTGTATTTATAGGGTACTCCGTATTTTGATGTTCGATGGAAATGGCCGTTTCCAGGTCACTGTTGGAAGTCAAAAAAAGAAAAAAGGATCGGGCCCTATTTCTGTATCTAACACTTGAGCTGAATGAACTAAATTGTAATATATTCTTCAAGTTCAAAACAAGAGTACATCTTCTAGCCAAATGTGATGCTCTTACTTTGAGGCCATAAATATTGATCACAGTGGTTCAGCCAAGGTATACTATCAGGGGTAAATCTTTCTCGTGTAAATACCGTTTCCGTAACTTGAAAACTTTTGCTTATCATTCTCCAACCTTATGTCATAGTCCTCCCATCTTAATATCTCTGTGACGGCGTAGTAGTGAAGTATTCTCGCTGGCTAAGGAACTATGGCCTTTCCATTAGGAACCTTGTCTGTTCTGTAGCGTTTTATTCTCGACTGATGCCAACTCGTGGTAACAGAGGTGATGACTTACACCATGACGAATACGGACCCGCCCAAAGTGTTTCGCGGATGTGTGATTAAACACAGTGGTTGAAGGACAACAAATTGCTCACTGTTGAAGCTTAGCTTGTTCAATGGTGCGCTAGGCTTTATATGAGTTGGCTGCTATCCTCTTCTGAATATACATGGATCTTGACCGCGAAACTCACGATTGGCTGCAATGCACCGGGTCGACAACAAGGTCAACAACCAGCTAAAAATACGTATGAGAACATGAATAGGGTGAGGACCTTAGTGTGTGCTTCCATCTAATGTTCATAAGTTTATATTATATTTAGTATCTAGTTTGAGTCGGCTAGTAGACGATAGAGAGAGAGGATAGAATTAACTAATGAGTCAAACCTGTTTTTACCAGACTCTACCCATTATTCTCATTTTTGTAATTCGTCTCTATCTAACTCTATTGATTTTGCGATTTTGATTGGGTGAAAGAGTAATCCCTGCAAGCGATAAAACTCTAAGAACATCAGTTGGGTAGACTGCAAAGAGAATACAGGAAGAGGAGCCTTTAAGAGTAGATTTAATTGTTGAAGTTCGTATTAATCCGCCGCCTGCTATTGCACGATCCAATACCAAACGCTGCTACTCTTTACAAATCTTTAAAGAATTACATGTCTCTATCCTTTTTCGCCTGTCCTTCCATGCCTTGCTTGGCATTGGTTATGATGATTCCTGACGTTCGACTTATCGATGGATAAAAACTCGCAGTAATCACAGCTAAACCCGCCAAGCTTTGGGAGTTGTAGGATAGCCTTATTACCATTCGCAGGAAGTGGTACTTTGGTTGGATCTTAGAATTCTTAATTACCGCAGAACGATAGCACCGCCTTAAGCTTATTTCCAGTATATTTATGCATATTTCGAAAATAGGCTTTAATGCCTCTCCCAGGTCGGACAGCATGCCTACATAGAAGGCAAATCAAAATTCGAGGCTCATCAAGCACATAGAGAATTCCGTTAATAGATACCAAATTTCCATTTTCGTCATGCATATCTTAAAGCGGAATCTCGCCGGATATAGAGGGTAAGACTTAGTCCTAGCTGTCTGGCCAACCCTTTTCCGAAAGAGATTATAAATTTAGTTTACTTGAGATTACTAATGGTCTGCTACCTTTTTGTCTTTTTGCCAAATAAGCTTTGTCTATCAGAAGAGTGTAGTCCATGGCAACTTCTGCAATAGCTTGCTTCTTATTAATCGAAGATAACTTTAACACGGGAAATCCTTTAGGTTCTAATGGTATATTCTTGCTTAACTGGCCCAGAAACTTATACCACCGTATAGAAGCCTACTTATAGTATTATAGAAGTAATAGCTAGAGTCTAGATAGGTAAGCTCTATTAAGTCTATATGTAATCCCGCGCTAGAGAGGCTAATACCTACTCTGCTAAGCAAATACGGTATTAATCTCGGTATTATTACTGTAATTATCGTGCCTATTAAACGGGGTATATACTTTACGAATATGCTTCTCAGTATTTGCCATAGCCAGTTAGTGATATATCTATATATTAATCTTTTGTCGCTATAGTTCCAAAGTGGCTTTTATAATAAGATCTATTAGGTGAGATATAGGTTAGGGCCTCCTGTTATTTTAGAATAGTAAGCGTATCTATAAGCGCTGCTAAGCTCTCCTATTAGCGCCGAGCTGCTTACGGCATAGTAGATCTGCTATAGGTCAAATATAGATAAGGTACTTAAATAGAATGTAACCTAGTGTGACTAGAAGGAATTAGACTATATAGAATTTGCGATTTGTAAGGTGCTTTACTTTATGATGGCAGATAATATATACTATATATCTGCCTTAAATATATACTCTATAACTTGTGTTTGGATTATTCTCATACTCGAGACTTAGGAGCTCCTTGATTTGTAGTATCTGATTATAGGCGGTATAAAAACTACTAGTAAGCTACTCCTCTATCTTGCTGACTTATCTTAAATATACTATTATAGCATGCTATCTCTATATTTTATTTTTAGCTAGTCTGTTTTTGCCTGCAATATAGGCATAAAGTAATAGATCTAAATAGGCTGACTCGAGACTATTCTCAGGATAGTTAATAAAGCTATATTTACTTTTTATATTTATAATATTATCTTTAACTCTTAATAAGTTAATATTTAGCTTAATCTCGAATATTAATTAATTATATAATACTTCTGCCTATATAATAAAATAGTCTAGGAGTTTATAAAAGTTATTTATTATTACTTAAATAGTCTTATAAGATATTATCTTGCTATTATTACTTTAGTAGAAAAGTATAGCTAGTAGTTTAGTATATATAATATTGCGTTTAAAATCTCAGAGGCTTATTAGCTCTACTAATAGGTATTATAAGCCTAGAACTATATACTTAGTTTAGATTTTATTAAAATACTTAAATTATCTAGCTTCTAGCTATTATAAAATACTAAGAACTCTATATCTATATAAAGGCAGTACTTACTCTAGGAATAATACATGCTATATATAAATCATTACTAATAGTTTTAAGCAATACTAATAAGCAAATTAGAATCTCCGACTATCTGCAGAGAATCCAAGGATATACTAAAATATATAAGTAGTATAGAGCTTAGCTGCCTATTAAGAAAGCTTTCGGTACTTAGTATAATACAAACTTAGAATAAGAGTTTAAGGAAGTAATCGATTTTATACGCAGTAGAGTCCCTTAATACGCCTGAGAATAGGTTATATTAAGTTCTGGCTGTATATCCACCAGAATCATCATAGTCGCTCTAGTTGTCCTTATCATCGTTGTCGTCCTTGAGTTCCTAAGCTTTAACGTTCTCATTATCTATTTCGCCATCCTCAACGCTTTCCTTCCGACCTGGTCCTTAATAAGCTCGAGTATTAAGAAGAACATTAATAGATTAACCGCCTATAGGATCAGAGTGTATTCCTATCACGGAACCTCCTTGTCTTTCTATAACCAGTTAAGTTCCCTCTAACACGTCGAGATAGTTCCAGATATTATGCTTCTATATCTGATCTAGCTGTTTAGAGATCTCCGGCTTTATTTTCACATTTATTATTTCTCGTCGAGAGCTATCTGGCATTTAGTATACTCATAGGATAAAAGCCAAGAATTACTTCTAAGTCCTCCGGTATTTAATCTCGCTACTCTTCTCTACCACTAAGGTAAAAGCAATCTCCTGATAACTCTAGAGTCTCAAGCTAAGTAGCTAGTAATGAAGATTATAACTAGTATAGCAAACTATATCCTTATAACGGTCTATTACAGAGTCTAATACTCTTATAATGCATAAGATCTTCTATTTATCCTCTCTTAGGCTTATAAGGTTTGGCGCGCCTTCTAAACTGCCCTAACCTAAGATATAGTCTGCATTAAGAGAGTAGCAATCAGGTAGTCTAATTAATGCTTGCAGGATATCTCATTGAGAGCCTCGGTAGATAAAAGGCTATTATATTCTATCCAGCCACAGGCTTATAGCGGTAAAAGTATTAGTTCCTATGCCATTAGTAGTTAATCGTAGTTAACCTAATGCTTCTCGATATCTGGCTTCCCGGTCTATAACTTATTATAAATAGGCTGATACCTCAGATATAAGAACATAGGGCGTTCCTTTAGCTTCTTAGTGCTCGGCTTTACTTTCAATCTGCTTGCCTGCCTATTTGCCTGTGTATTAACCTGGAACTATTTGCTGCCTTCCCCAGAAGGAAAAAATCGCTAATAAGCGATATGTTCCTCCCACGGTAGCTCATCAGCAGATATGTAGCAATTCGGTGCTAGTCTTCCCCTGCCTCTTGGGTTAATACATTACTGCTTTTTAGCGCAATGCTTTTGTATCTTTTGGATGCGACGGACAATATGGCCGCAAGCATGACATTTTAAACTATCTGGTTCTAGTGGCGCAAGATATGGAATGGGCTGAATTAAATCCGTTAGGTATTGTAAATAACGACGTATTTCGTCCCGATTGCGGAAAACATCGGGCATCTGTTTCATCTTTTCCACCAGATCCTGTCGATATTGTGGCTGTATATCGCGATGTCGTGTCCTCAAATGCGTGGCAACCTCATCGGCTACAGAGGCGAATCCACAAACCTGGCACACAAGAAGGCAGTATATAGAGAGAACAACATAGGGACGAATAGCACCGCATAATTCAGATTACAAATTCGAGGCCATCTTAGCAATCATCATAACAACTGGGTTTTTATTCATGAGATGTGAATGACAATTGTGTTTTTATCAACAACGAGACCATCTAGTAGTATAATTTACCCCCCTATAGCACTTTACGCGAAAGAACGCATCGCGCTCTAGCTAAGCCCCGGTTTTAATCGGCACTAATATTAAATCAACTCTGCACCCCAGCAATAATCAACCCTGCTGGGTTTAAAGTGGGTCAATAAAATCAACTCTGCCAGAGTTGGTTTTGGACTGTAGGACTAGGCTCTGATTCCTGTCCAAGCTTTCTCCTACTAACGTTAGAATCGAAAATGAGCCCTGTATTCGGCCAAGCTGACATGCAGATGTTGTCCTCGTGATGGCATTTACGTGGAACAGTAAGCCGTGGCGCTCAAGTCCCCATACGATTGGCCAAGAGTACGACGAGATAAGCATTTGCTGACATGTGCCGTGTAATCGAAGGCGGGTATAATAAAACATCACCTCTTTGAACTGATGTGATTATGTCTCTCTCAGAACCATTGACAGCTACCTACCAAACGCTGTCGCATCACAGCGTGAGAAAAGCCAGCAAACATGGCGCTGCAGGCCATTCGACGAGCTGTTCTGGGGCAGACGCGCCAACCACCAAACTATCCTACAAACCCGACCGATACCGTGCTACCAGTCTATTATTTTGATGACGCCCCCCTTTTGCGCAACTGTGTAGAGTGTTGGACGCTCAGGTTCAATGATCCGCTGGATGCAGAGATGCTACGGGAGTCTCTTTCTCGTGTCATTGCTCGACCGGGATGGCGAAAACTGGGAGGACGGATCCGCATGAATGTCGGAATACACAATGAACCGTTGGGTCAAAGCATTCACTGACATTACTTAGAGCAAAGAAAAATTGGAAATTCATGTTCCCGAGACTTTTACTTCGGAACGTCCTGCGCTCGGTTTTCATCATGACACGTTCGACGTCAGTATAGATGCACATCCTTTGGCCTCTGAATTCCCACGTCCCACTCCAGATCGACCATCTATCCAAGACAGTCGCTCAGATTTTACGGCTTTAGGTGTTCCTCCAGGAACTCCACTCAGTCTCAATGATTATCTCAAATCCGATTACCCACAGTTGACCCTCCATGTCGTATCCTTCACCGACGCGACTCTGGTCTCACTTTGTTGGCCTCACATCGCCGTCGATGCTACGAGCCTTCGCGATCTCGGCATTGCTTGGAGTCTGGTGCTTGCTGGGCGTGAGTCAGAGATCCTGCCTATGTTGTCTGCGGGCGAAGACCCCATGGCTCACGCAGGAGATAACCCTGCTTTTACCAAGCCGTATGCCCTTGAAAAACAACAGGTTAAGGGCTGGCGGATGTACTTGTTTCCCTTTTTTTACGTTTTCGACCTACTACGGTGGCGTACACTAGAGAGTAAAATACTCTTTCTGCCTCGAAAAAATGTTGAACAACTCCGCAATCAGGCTTTGGATTCTCTCGGCAAAACTTCTTCACCTCCATTCATAAGCGAAGGCGACGTCATAGTCGCTTGGCTATCCATAGTCGTGGCGTCAGCTCTCTTTCCACAAGACTCAAGGCGATCATTCACTATCGGAAATGCATACGATCTCCGAGGGCGCGCACCGTCACTCTTTCCTATCGAGAGTGGCAAGGGAGCATACGTGCAAAACGCCGTACTTCCTTGTTGGACAATTGTCCCTGCCAAGTCCATGCACAACCGTGGGGATAGCACTCTTGGGACTATCTCACTAGCACTTCGCAATAGTCTTAAAGAGCAAACAACCGAAGCCTCTATTCATGCTCTGGCTCGCCTCACACGAGAGTCGCTGGACTTTGCTGGAGTACCGCCGCTGTTCGGCAACGCCAACTCGGTTTACATCTACTATACCAGCTGGGTCAAAGCTAATCTTTTCGAAGCCCTCAACTTTGAGCCAGCTATTTTGAGCACCTCTGCCTATAGGAATAGCCTGAAGTTTTCGACCAAGAAAGATATCTGGGAACCTGCAGCTAGAGGCCACCCCGTCTACTACCACATTCTGGGAGTCAGCCCAAGCAACATACTTGCGAGAAATGCATCTATCATATCTAGGACTCCTAATGGCGATTATTGGATTAACGGAAGTTACCCACCCGAAGTCTGGAAGGTGATGGAGTCAATGATTTGAACCCTAAAGGCTGGGAGGGCCCCTCATCCGCTTTTTACCACTTCGAGCTTAGAGGATGCATGCTGACCGGACTAAAGCCTCCGCGGAAACCATCAGAAAACCAATCAGATTCTTTCGTACAGGAACCCCACTCAACCCTAGGGTAGCCAACTTGCTAATTCTCTCTTGCAAGTTCGTAGGCTCAAAATATGGTCTAACAATAAAAAAGGCTTGGGAAGAGGGGACGTTGATCGGTTGAAAAGGATTAGACATGATCAACATTAGCCTCACGCAACTTTTCATATTTTGCCATCTATCTGAATGATAAGCTGTGAAGGGGGAGATGATGAAATGAGATAGAACATGCATAACGGGTAGGAAAGTAGAGAGAAAGTGGACAACATAGAATATACAAAAAATGAAATAAATAAAATGAGTAGAGTGTGGTGCAGGTTCAGTGTCAGCAATCTGTCATTGTAGTTTTACTGAAAATAGCCCAAAGTGGATTAGCTGTAGTGCATGCATAGTATTTCCACCAGCCCTAATACAATCCCTGCCCTCCTCCAGCACTAACAACACAAAATGCCTAGATATTCGGGCATTAACCGCCCTATCAGACAACCAACTTCATTCATTCTACTATCAATTTCTAACTAGAGGCTATGATTACCTAATAACTATATATATACACTCTGTTCACAGACACACAAAATGCTCATTAATTACTAGAGCAGCTAGTTCAGTATACGCCACAGCAGATACAGACCCTTAAATACAGCAGAAACAGATCAATCAAAGCCTTTGCTCTTGTGGAATCTCCATTTGCAAAAGCGCCCAACTTTTCTATACATAACCTTCCATAACGACCTATCCTGCGGCTTTCCTTCTCCCTCCGATTCGTGGATTTACGTAACTGCAAAAGACTAGACTAGCTCTACAAGCAACAGTAAGTATAGTAATGCCTCGTATATAGAGGCAAGGTATACTATACTCTATATAGTATCTAAATAGTTTTCTCTAAGTATATAATAATAAAGGTCTAAGGCAGTTTAATAAAGCTAAAGGGCTTTATTATATTAGCCTTATATATAATATATTACTATAAGGTCTGCTATACTGCTAATTATATCTAAATACTTCTTCTTAAGTATCTCTTATTAAAGTTTTAGTACTTTAATTAATATCTCTTTATCCTTATTATATTAGCCTTATATATAGTATATTACTATAAGTACTGCTATATTATTAATTATATCTAGATACTTCTCTTTATATACCTCTTATTAGGGTTTTAGTACTTCTTAGTAAATACATTCGGCCTCCTTATATCGGCCTTATATATAGTATATTATTGCAAGGTCTGCTATACTGCTAATTATATCTAAATACTTCTTCTTAAGTATCTCTTATTAAAGTTTTAGTACTTTAATTAATATCTCTTTATCCTTATTATATTAGCCTTATATATAGTATATTACTATAAGTACTGCTATATTATTAATTATATCTAGATACTTCTCTTTATATACCTCTTATTAGGGTTTTAGTACTTCTTAGTAAATACATTCGGCCTCCTTATATCGGCCTTATATATAGTATATTATTGCAAGGTCTGCTATACTGCTAATTATATCTAAATACTTCTCCCTAAGTATTTTATATTAAAGTTTTAATACTTTATCTTTTAATTTCTTAGCCTCTTTATATTAGCCTTAATTATAATATATTATTACAAGGTCTGCTATATTGCTAATTATATTTAAATACTTCTCTTTAAATACCTCTTATTAAAGTTCTAATACTTTATCTTTTAGTTTCTTAGCCTCCTTATAACAGTTAGGGTTTCCAAACAGCTAAACTAATCCGTATTAAGTTTTATATTTATAGAGTTATAAGGCATTATACTAAGTAGTAGCAAAGTATTATATCTCTTAATAGTTAATAGTATAATTTAGGCTTATTAAGGTAAAGAAGTCTTATTAATAGCTAGTAAGCTAAGTTTTATAAGAGTGCTAATAAATATATTTATATATTAGTTATAATTATAGGGTAATAATAAGAATTATTAATAATTTTAATAATTACTAGTAATTTATAAGAGTTATTAGTGTTTTTATTATATTTATAATAACTCTATTTTAGTAGTTATAACTAAAATCCCTTAATCTATAGTAATTATATATAATTAGTAAAAAATATAAGGTATATATAATATAACTACTAGGATTATAATATAATCTTTCCCTTCCTTTAGTCTTATTTTTAAGACCTTGCTTATTTATTATTTATTAATTCTCCTTAATATATATTCTAACTTAACTCTATAATATTTTTTTTAATATACTAATTATATTATCTCTAGAAACTTAATATTATCTTATTAAAGCTAAACTTATTATTACTTAAGGCTATATAATTATACCTTATTTATTATATATTAAGAATTATATTAAGTATTATTACAATCCACGCAGCTATGTCACGTGGCCCCTACAATTCTCCACCAATCACGGTAGGATTACCTCTCCTAGTAACGATCCTATTTTATTGGATTACTTGGATCACGACGCTCCAAGGATGGATCACCATGGATCACTAACGATCCCTAAAGATCCAGCCCTTAGATTACTCTCTTTCCTTACTAAGCTATAAAGCTACCTTTAGTATATAGACTATATTTATTAGTACTTTTATAGAACTTAGCTTACTAGCTATTAATAAGACTTCTTTATATTAATAAGCCTAATAAGCATTACTTAATTATTAAGCGATATAATAACTAACCTACTTAGCCTAAAAATGCCTTATGCAATCTGCAAACATAAATGTAATATAGACTAGTTTCCCTTTTTAAAACCCTAACTATTATAAGTATATAATAAAGAATAGTTAGAAAAATTATTTTAAACATACTTATTATAGTTATTTATATAATAAAAAGGGTATTACTTTATTTAAAGGTTAGTTTCTTTTTATATAGTTTTTTTATATTTCTTTATTATTAATTATTTATAATTAATTATTTAATTTAAGAAAAGAGTTAAATTAAAGCTAATAAAAAAGCTATTAAAAAGGAGCTTATTTAATTATAGTTATAGCTAAATAAGTATTTATTAAAACTTATATATTTTTATTATTAGAAATGCCTAATACAGTCTAAAGGTCTATAGGTATTAGAGAAGGATTCTGCTTTAATAAGTAATTATAAGAAGGTAAATAATTTAATATCTAAATCTTTAGCTTAGTAAAGTTAATTAAGGCTAGTATTATTAAGTTTATTAATTAATCTGCTGTTTTTAATTCTTTTCTTATTAATAGAAATTCTTTAAGAGTTATTAGGTATTAATAAGGTATTTTAATAATTCCTATATATTTTTACTTTTTAAGTAATCCTTTTATTTAATAAGGTATTTTATTTTCTTATTAACCTTTTTTATTTCCTTAATTACTTTTGCTTTATAAACTTTTAGTTTTATAATTTCTTTTAATTTATTACTAATCTTAATTTATATTATATTAGCTACTAATTTAAGTAGTAAAATATAAAAAATTAGGTAAAGCCTAACTTTTAATAATAAGTTTAGTTTATAGTTATTTTTTAAAATCTTTCTTTTAACTATATATAGCCTAATATACTTATAGTTAAATTTATAATTTAATTATTTTATTAAAATGTTTTTAGTAGATAGGTAAATAATATCTCCTTTTAAAAAGGTAAGTCTTCTTACTCTTTTAAGATTATAATATTATTATATTTATTTTTTAATATATTTAAGTATTATTTTTATTTTTTTATATAATTCTTTTAATTTATTACTTATAATAATAGTAGCTAGGTTAATTATTCCTAGTTCTTATAGTTTATAATAAGTACTTAATATAAATCTAAAGTTAGTATTAAATAATATAAAATTTATATTTTTATTATAGGCAGCATTATAAGCTAATTAGGCATATAATAGTTTTTTAACCTAATTATTTTATTTATAATTAATATAATACTATAAGTATTATTTTACTACTTAGTTTATTTATTTTATTTATTTATTTATTTAAAGTCTAAAAGCTATTATAAGCCTATAATTTACTTTTATATAAGCTATTAATACTTACTAAAACTTACTAATAAATATAATTCTTCTATTTATTAGGATTTTAAGGGGCAATTTATATACCTTAGTAATCCTAATATAAAAGGTATAAATAAGCTTTTTTATATTTATTACTTCTTTATATAGTAAGTAGTAGCTAAACTTAATAAATTAATTAATTATAATTATAATATTATTATAAAAGATATTAATTAAGGGTTCTTCTAATAAGGGTAATTTAATTATTATATTTATTATAATTAAGCTTTATAATTATTTTATTACTTTTAGTAATTATAATTCTCTATAAGGCTTATATTATTATACTTTTATCTTTATATATAAGTTATATTATTTAATTATTTTTTCTATTTCCTTTCTTTAAACCTTATATCCTTATTATAATAGTCTTTTAAGGGTTTTTATAACTCCTTAATATTTATATAAAGGGTATAAGTAGAATGTATAAAGGAAGTTATATACTTTACTTTTTAATATCTCTTTTAATTTTATTATTTATATTTATTTTAAGGTCTATATTTACTAAATAAATTTATATTTTCCTTTATTATTTCTTTTTAATATTTATTTATTTACTTTAATAATATTAGTATTATAATCTAGTTTTTTATTAATTATATTTACTTTTTTATTATTAAATCCCTTTTAGTAAATAATTATAAAGTTAAATTTATAGAGGTATTTTATATAATATAATTATTATTAATTAAGTTTATATATTATAATAAAGTAAGAGATATTTTAAATTCCTTATTCCTTACTAGTGGGTTTTTTGTATTAATTTCTTTATATATAAGAAATAGATTTTATAATTCTATAATTAAATTATTTAAATAGGGGTTTTATTTTTATAGTTTATTTATAGACTTTAGGCTAATAATATTATAGCTTTTTTTATATATTTCTAGT